TACATTTGTAAATACACTGTTGACCATCCCTTACACCTTAACCCACCCTTAAACCTACCCACGCCACCAAACCTGTCCATAACCAAACCTCTATCCCAACTCAAAAGCACCACAAGTGTTCTCAAATACATTATAAACACAGTAAGTACATTGTATTTATTTTTTGATGTAAGTACATAGTAGTTAAGGACACTTAAAATAAAGTGGAACCAGAGATTTAAACAATTTTTTTGAAAGGCAACTCAAAACAGCGAAAAGCATAAATAAGACAATATTTTATATAACAAATAAAATTATTAAGTCACACTCAACTGGTTCCAAACATGTAAGCATTTTTTTGAACACAAAGGAAGATATTTTAAAGAATGTCAACAACTTGTAGCAATTGACATTCATAGTATAGGTAAACATATGGAAGACTATGGAAGTCAATATAAGATGTTATATAATAGTAGATATAGTAGATAAAATGTTGATGCTACTAGCTTAACTACATTTCTCAGTAGCGTGACGGTAGCATCGCTACTTTTTAAATCAAGTAGCTTTTCAGTAGCCAAGCTATATTTTTTAGTCACGTTGTGCAGTAGCATTCACACAAGCTATATATACAAATCGCGGATTGATAAGTGACGCACCAACATTCTACGAGCTGTGAGAAACATGTCTAGCCGATGAAAGTAAATCCATATGATGGTAAAAAAACTTCTGGTTTTACGGGGGTCGACAACAAACCTTTTGGTGCATTACTGCCACTGCTCTCTCTGGTTGGTGATGTTGCCAACTAATCAGGCTAACACGAGAAATTTGCTTGATGGAAAGATGACCTGGAGGGGAGTTATTTCTAAAGCAGGAAGTTAATGTTTAGATGTAATAACGTTAATTCTAATGCTGTGCTTTTGTTAATGCTGATTCAACTTTAAATGTCTTTTGTTTATTGAGCTGGTTGTAAATTAACTTATGGTTTGTCCAACAAATGTGCCCAAGTACATTCAACAATTATAGAATAAAATGCTCATTCCTAAATATTTCCCTTTTCTATAAATTAAAATAGCGTTTTAAATGTGTAACATTTGGTTTTATTGATTTATTTTTTTATTTTTTATTTTTTTACTGTCATATACTATAATTTTTTTCTGTTTGATACAGTCTATTAATTGCAGTAACTGACTGAAGTAAGCAATTATGCCTCATATGTTTCATTGAGAGTTTTATTGATCACTATAATATGATTGGCTTGGAAGTTGCTTTGATTTAAAAATGAAAATTACAAAAATAGCTTAGATGTAGCTAAGCTACTTTAGCCAAGTAGCTTTTAGCTTAGCTTGCTACATTCCCCAGAGGGTAGCTTTTAGTGTAGTTAAACTACAGCCAAGTTAATAGCTTAGCTCACTACATTTTTCAAGTAGCTTGCCCAACACTCATTTGTAATTTCAATATTTCACTATCTGACATTAGATTGAAAAAGAAAATGATGTGAAATTAAATTAGCCATTGAATCCTGTTTGAACTGCAATTACTTTTCATAACAGCTCCCTCTTGTCGACATTTTTGTAGTTATGATTATCGTACAGCTTGTTGTGTTCCGGCACCAATAAAACAAGCAGCTTGACATTCATCTTCAATGCATCATCTTTGTTGTTAGGAATATATGCTTGCCTATCCAATTTTGTGCTTGTACGCAACTTGTTTTTTGTTCTTAAAGATGCTTTGTGTAATGAATAATGACATAACTTTCATTTTTTGGGTGAACTATCCTTTTAATGCTGTTTAGCTATTATCTTGCTTTGTCTCATTCTCTCTCTTTTTTTCTTTTGTCCTGTGTATGTGGATACCGCTCTCTCTCTCTCTGCCTGGTGGAATCTTATGGTCTATTCTTAACTGTGTCCATCTATTCATCCATCCATCTGTGGAACAACATGACCTGAATGCTCCCCAAAGTAGCAGTAAGTACACTTAAAGTCAATTTCCAAACACCTCAAAGCCACAAATGGATATCTAGTTCAAATTGCCAAAAGGTCTTTTAAAACTAGAGCCTGTTCTTGTTAGCTTGTTCAAAAGACAAGCAGCACTGTTATCACTCTTACTTACTTTTGAAGATATTAAAGTTGGCCAGTGAGCACTGTCGATTTTACGGATACATGTTTTTGTGTGGGAACATTTGAAGATATTTAAATATTTTTGTGCCGGTAGAGAATGAAATGGAGAACATGAAAAAGCAAGACACAACAACACGAATGTTTAAATAAACATTGTGGAATTTGGTTCAGTTTACATATTCATTGTGTCTGTTCAAGTTATGTTTGAAGCAATCCAATTTTCAACTGTTTTAATGACAATATTTGTGTAACAGTAGTGGGTCTGGGCATGTGACCAAAAGAACAAATCTTTTTGGGTGGCCATTTTTTTCTCCACAATGTGTTGAAAACAATTGATAAACCACTTTGTTGGAATGTGAATGTTCGAGTCTCTTTTAACTGATACATTATCAACTAACCATTCAGATAAAATCAAAATGTTAAACGCAAAAATTTGGTGGGATACACATCTCTGCGGAAGCCAGTCTTTACATTGAGTACTGAAATCAGTTCTAAGGCTCTATTTATACCTGGTGTTGAATAGGATCTGAAACATTTTGAGCTTGTCCACCTCTGACCGCTTCCAAAGCTAGTTGAAAATGTGTTCTGGATTTCTGCCATATTGTAGGTGATCATGTGGTCGCACGGTATGCATTCTAACCGACCACAAGTGTTAAAACATTTTAGGATGGATTGTTGAAGTGTCCAAAGCAGGCAGGGTTTACATGTTGTCGTTCAGTTTGATTTTTTTTTTAATCTATTTGCATTAAAATTTGTTTGAAATTTTCTTTTTCTTTTTTTTTGATGAAAAACCAAAACAGAAATAATGCTGCATCCCAATTCGCATACTGTTTGTCCTAAATGGTATTCAAAAAAGATTTAGTATGTCTTATGCTGTGTTCACAGCAGTTGCGGAACGCACAAATAAATCACGGTATTCGCACGTAAATAGACCTGTAAAAAAACATTGAGTTTTCTTGCTTTATTTGCTTCATTTGTATGTCAAATTCACCTCACAGTAAATGCTGATTCGCGTCATGGGCAGGGGTCATGTCTGCCCTGTGACTCTAGCTTAGTTGCTAAATTGCTAGGATAGATGTTATTTAGAGAATAGCTATGTTTATGTGCTTTAGGAAGGCTAAAAACAGCATATATATATATATATATATATATATTCATTTGGTACCCTGTCTAAGTCCACTAGATCCTTTCAGAAGTGCACCCAACTCTAGAAACTCCCCAAACTATACCTGGATAATGGAGGCTTTCAGCAGTGCTTCAGACTGAGCCGAGCTTTTGTCTGGTGTCTGCAAAAGGATTTTCCCTTAGGACACCAACAACAGGCACTACGTCATAATCATGCCCCTACAAAAGAAAGCTCCTGATTGGTTAACGTGCAGGCTCAATTGTTCGCTGAAGGTCATATTTTCCAACTCAAGCGATTTACTCGAAATGTGCGGTAAATAGAATCATTCGCGCCACCTCATTCACGCGTATCGCGCCACAGAATGTCTATTCGCATCTTTGCATTGACTTGACATGTAAATCACTCGTGCTTGATGCTTCGTCTGCGTCTGGTGTGAACGCAACATTAAACGATAGTATGTTGGAAAAAAGTATGCTAAAAGTTCCCAAATGATGTACTATTTATGGTTGAAATTCGAAGTGTAGAACCATCCATAATCTAACTGCTGATATTACCCACAATACATTGCACATTCGATGTGAATTCGATTAGAACTACAAATTCAAATATAAAAGGTGTATACAAACTACAAACACTAACCATCAATTAGAGAGGCTTTGATAAAGTTGAGTAAATAACTATTATTAATTAATATCTAGCCAACTGGAAAATATTTAAGTCACGTTTTCCATCTTATATGAACTTCTATAACAATGTGACCTTCTATCTAACAACATGAACTTCTATAAGGACGTGTTTGGACATTTAACTTCTGAATGCATAATTATCCAAACACCTGAGGAGATTTCTCTGCATGAATGTCAGATTAATCTGCTGTCGCTTCTCCTATATGGTAGGCAATTAAATATGAAAGAAATGTGGATGATGTGTTGAGATGATTGACAGGTTACATATCTAAGCAATATAACTGTTCGTTAATGAGGAAGTATTATGTTCAAAAGCTTGCAAAATCTACTGTTACACACTCAAATGTATCTTCTTTTTCTTTACACAAAAATATGCATGCTTTTAGGATGTAGGATAGGTATGAGAATTGGCACACAGCAAAAGAAAAGTGTTTGAAGGTGGACAAATACTTTATTTTAAATGTGTAAAAGGAAATGTTGTCTCCTATCTACTTATGATCTGTTCTAACAAAACACATCGTAATACCAGGTCATTTGCCAGAAAGTTGCAGTTGATGTCATTCTTGCTTTCAAAGAGGAAAGTCTGCTAGTTATTTTGGTACTTGGACAGTGGAAATGGAAATGAGTGTACTGTAGTGTATTGAACCAAACCATACAGCTCAGTGGAAACAATTAACTATCAAATTATTACCAACAAAAACAATTGATCAATTAAACATGTTTTTTAAGTGAAGCACTGAAATATAACACTTAAAAATGTCTTTAATTTGCAACTTTTATTTTTATTTATTTATTTTATTTAGTTATTTTTCTTTGGATATGTGAATAATTTTTTTTTTTGCAGACATATGTAATTCCTAAACTATAAGGTGTCTCTGAAAAGCCACGTATTAGGCTAATTGCTACATCATAGCCAAGATTCTTCTATGTTTAATGTCAAACTTAAGTTTTCTGTTATAGAAATATCATGTCAACACTAACTAGGGGAATTTTGACAAATGTCCACCCACATTTTACGTCTTATTTGTAGTGTTTTGTCCGACAGTTAGCTGCCTGCTAAAGTCATTGACTGTGTTTGGATTTTGTCTACAGCAACAGAAGAACCTTGAGGGGTACGTGGGATTTGCAAATCTCCCTAACCAAGTGTACAGAAAGTCAGTGAAGAGGGGCTTTGAGTTCACTCTCATGGTCGTCGGTGAGTAACTTCTGTCCTGTTTTATCCCACTGCTGCTCACAGAATGTCATTTGAGTAGAATTATAATCATAGCCTGCGACAGCCTTTTTAGAATATTCATAATATCCATCTGATCATTTTATTGAGCAAGCTTTAGAGCAATAGTTTACAAAGTGAACATTCAAGTTCTAATTATTCTTTCTTTCTTCAAACATAAAACAATATATTGGGGTTTGACCTTTCTAATTCATTTGAACTGAAAAAGAGCAGTGTGAATAGTTAAATTTCTTCTTTTAATTAACAAAAGGAAGTAAAATTGGTTGGAATAACTTAAAGGTGAATAAATGACCAAATTGTATTATATGGGTGATCTATCATTTTAAAAACAGATTTGCACAAGAATATTTTTGACAATAGCCAAACTCATTGTATGGGTCAAAATTGCCAAAAATCATTTGAATATTGACTAAAGATCATACTCCATGAAAATATTTAGTAAAATCACTTCCATATATTTGCTTAATTTTTTATTAATAATATGCATTGCTAAGAACTCAATGTGGCCAACTTTAATGTCGGTTTTCCTAAAATTTGGATTTTATTTTGAATCGTCAGGTTTTAGATTTTTGAATAGTCTTATCTCAAACAAATATTGTCATTTTAACAAACCAGTATGGAAAGCTCATTTGTGGAGCTTTCAGGTAATGCATGAATCCAAAAATGTACACTTACACTTAAAATGATTTTTGCTGCTTGTTCAAAGTACTTATTTAAAATGAGCTGAATCAACACAATCAACACAAAAAAAATAATAATTTAACAATCAATATATTTTCTGACAACATGAAGGAATTGTGTCGAACCCTATTTTTTACAGTGTACAGGTATGTGTGAAAAAAAAATTAAGGGAAGGTCCTTTTATTTCAATATTTGTTTCAAAAAGTGAAACTTGTGTGTTATATTAGTTCGCTACACACAAAGTGAAATATTTCAAACCTTTCAAAAATTTAAGATGAAAAACTCAAATCCAGTATTTCCATTATGACCAATAAAAAGGATGTTAAACACATGTTGGCCTTCTCAAAATTGTATTGTATTATGACCTCAGTACTTTGTTGGGCCTCCTTTTGCTACAACATCAAGGCAGTGGAGTCAATCAGCCTTTGACACTGTTGAATTGTTATGGTAGCCCAAGTTGCTTTGATATCAGCCTTCAGCTCGTCTGCATTTCAGGGTCTCTGTTCCCTCATCTTCCTCTTTACAATAGCCCATAGATTTTAAATGGGATTTAAGTCAGGTGTTTTCACTGTTTCCTGGCCAATTAAAAAAATGGGATGCCATGCTCCTTAAAATAGGTACTGGTAGCTTTGGCACTATGTGCAGGTCTTGCTGGAAAATAACATCAAAATCTTCAAAAAGCTTGTCGGCAGCATAAAGTGCTCTAAAACTACCCGGTATAGAGCTGCATTGACTGTGCACTTGATAAAAGACAATGGACCCACACCAGCATCACTGACTGTGGAAACTTCACACAATGGACATTAAGCAGATCGACTTTTATGTCTCTCTGCCTTTCCTCCATACTATGGGACTTTGATTTCCAAATAAAATGCAAATTTTGCTTTTATCTGAAAAGAGGACTTGGGACCACTTTAAAACAGATCAGTACATTTTCTCTTAAGCCCAGCACAGGCGCTTCTATCATCGTTTTTGGTTCAGGAGTGGCTTGCTTGACACATGAAATTCTAAAGCTGTAGCCTGTGTCATGCAGACGTCTGTATGTGGTGATTCTTGATGCTCTCACACCAGCTCTGTCACTCTTGCTTGACAATCCTCTCAAGGCTGCTGTCATACAAATGCACCTTTTCCAGACACATTTTCCCTTCCTCTTAACACTATTCATTTACTAAGATACTGCACCCTGTGAGCATCCAGGTTTTTTTTTTTTTCAATTGCCTTATGGGACTTTTCCTCCTTATGGAGGGATTCAAGTCAGCAGTCTTCCCCATGATTCTGAAGCCTACTAGACCAGACTGAGACCATTTTAAGGCTTTGCATTAATTAGTGGACTAGATTGTAATAGACACAGAGAACTTTATCATGATATCCCAGTGCTTTCCACAGGTTTGAATTATACTTGTGGTTTCATGGCCAGATAAAAACACACCTCTTACCCACAGCAGCATATATGCTCAACTACATGTGACAAACAAAAAAATAATTTATTTTTAAGTATATTTTTATTTGTTATGACACTGTTATACACCTTTCTTTTCAGTGGGTAGAAATAATTTAAAAAGGGCTGTTGAAATAAAAGAAATCCACTGTTTCTCTTACTGTACGTTCACACCGAAAGCAGCGAGAGCGTCAAAGTAGGCGGAAGTCATTCATTTTCAGTGAGAGCCGGCAGCGATAAGCGGCGATAAGCGGCGAGGAGCAGCGCGGCGTGTCTTCTACGGCGTGGGCGTCGAGGAGAGTTGAAATCAAGTCAACTTTATGGTAATGAGCTATGACGCGGTTCGGCGACATGCAATCAGAATGAAAACATCCACCACTTGATAGAAGTTCAGAGAACAGACCTGTGAACTTTGGTTCCGACCACAATTGTTCCCAGGGGTTTAATGATTGCGGTCGCCTGATTTACAATGTTTTCTCACAGGAACATGCATTAAATGATTACTGGCGAGTTACTGATGTTCATTAAAGTTATATAAATTTATTTAAAAAAAGCGGGAATCTCACGCAACGTGACAGTACAAAACAGTATAGCTGCTTCAGAATATTTTAGACATATGGACACATATTGGATAAATAAAGCAAAGCCACACCAGACGCAACTTGATCTTCCATTGTTATATGAATTTGATAAGAAGTGCGCAACATTTTCACGCTAGAAAGCATGTTTTATGCGGGAATGTAACTGATATGCTGCAACGGCTCCTTTAAAAACGAGATCAATGTAGCGAGTTTTGACGCTCTCACCGCCGGAGCTGAAGGCAGACAGCGTTGTCGCCAGGGCGGCCAGAGCGACCTTGGACGCTCTCGCCGCTTATGGTGTGAACGTACGGTTAATTTTATACTATTTAGGAGCCATGTGCACGCACTGAAAGGTAAAGGCTGCTCTTTTTCTCTCCTCCCTCTCTCTCTCTCTCTCTCTCTCTCTCTCTCTCTCTTTCTCTCTTTCTCTCTTTCTCTCTCTCTAAAGTTGCTTTATTTGCATAACATTACAGTATTGTCAAAGCATTTTAGATATGTATAAAGTATGTAATATATTAACATCAAAATATAAACGTTACTAGAATAAAAAGTATAATTATTTAAATGAGGCAAATTAGTTTATTATCTATTTCTAATAGTGTACAAATCTTTTGCAGCCAGTATATTTTGTTACTCTCCGAGTTTACTGAGTCGTTTATTAAATTATTAATTGTTTAATGTTTCTCTCGTGGCTGTTCGCACGCAGTCAGCTGCGAGAAGGTAATGCAAAAACGCATACAAATAAAGGCAACTTTAGAAAGCGAAAGTAAAACCAAATCCTGGACATTTTGGAGATTCAGAAACTACGGTCGAACGCATTTAGGTGCATCTCTGTGGGTCTGCAGAGCACGTGACTGTCTGTGTGACTGACAGTTCTCGCTGGAAATGGGAAGAGCGAGAGAATTTCTACTGGTAAATCGATTGTGGAAAAAAAACAAAAAAAAAGGGTAAAAGGATGATAGTAATAGTATTATTCATGTTTCATCACCAAATATAATTGGGCAGCTTTATATATATATATCTTGGCAGCCCACCCAAGTAAAATCTCTGTGAGAAGCAGTGTATTTTAATTTAGTGAAATCTTTAATCCATAATCATCAAAATTGAATGAAACGAAGGCTTGAAATGTTTCACTTAGTGTGTCTTTAACTAGTATGACACAAGTTTCACTTTTTGAAACAAATTATTGAAATAAATGGACATTTTCTCTATTTAAATTTTTTGGCACATACATGTTTGACTTTTTTGTGGTCTGTTTGTCTTTTTGAAGTTTGTGACATATGGAAGAAAGCTTGATTGAAACGTTAATGGAAGTAGGGTCAAAAATAGAGGGCTAGTGACCCAGTATGCAGCACCATGTGGATTATACGCACTCATGTGTCGAACGGGATACAGTTTCACGCAGGCCGTTTCATACCAGGAGCTGGCAGCTGTGCGCAGAAATGCATTAGTGATGGCTTTCAAATAGCAGAACTGAACTAGAGAGTGTGGCTTGAAGAAACGCACACTCAAAACAAACGTGCTTCCCATTCTCCCATGGCCATTTTTCTTTCCTCCCCTCCTTAGGAATGTGTCTGTGTGTGTGTTTGTGTGTATGTGAGCGAGGCCTAGTGGGTGGGAAGTTTCCTGTAATCCCATTCATTCAGTTTGGCCTCAGGACTTGTATCTACCTCCCTCTTCAACTCCAAACACAACACAACCTGAAACTGTCACTGACGCCCAATCGGGGACACCTCACGTCCGGAGGTAATGCAGAGCAGAAGCAGCGTTTCTGACACATCAGTCTTCCTGAACTGCCTCTCCACAGGATTTTGGGAGGAGTGTTGGAGCAGCTACGCCCCTGGAGTTTCCCCTCTCTGCTGCACGCTGGGCAGGAAACAAGCTTTTAGATGGCAATTTGGTGTACAGCGTGTAATTACAATCGCAGAGTAATTGAAGAAGTGCATTGCTGTCAAACGTTCTCTTTGGATGTTGGAGACACAGATGTTGTCGTTTAAGAGCGTCCCGTGTATTCTCAGCAGGATAAATGCTGGAGTCGTCCTATAGTTTCAGACCTGTCTGTTGACTGACAGTGGAGAGCTGGTGAAAGTCAATATTTACCAGTGATTAACACATTTAGCTATCGCTTGAGCCAAGGATTGGTTTTGATCTTGGCTAATGTGGAAGCATTTAAGTCTATTCTGTTCTTTTTGGATTGTTTAATATAAGTGTCTAGGATTATAAAGCTTAAAGCTTTACTTGCCTGTGAGTGTTGATAAATGGTG